TCTCTTACAGCTTGAGCCTAAGTGTGTCGCAGGATACCCTCTAGGTGATAGTTCTTTATTACTTTTTGATAAATAATTCGTTCTTATTGCGAAATCGGAGCACTATTTATCAAACTGTAATAAAAGACGTGAGGAAATTCTGTCTTTTTTAAAGACAAAAAGTTTTGAGGCGAAATACCCAAAAAGAAGTTTGAAGGAAAAACTTTGTTGTATTTGCACGTAGATTTTTTGAAATTGTTAACTTAATTTGGTTCTTTGCAGATTATTGAGCAATGGATAAACGCAACGAAAACCGAACGGGACACGGTAATACCATCCCAGGAGAATATCACTTTGATCTTTTCCTTCATGGTGGCAATTTTCTGCGTTGGTGGTATGATTGGCGGTGCCATTACTGGTGAGTTGATTCCAAAGACATTCATATTAATCCTGAACCTTTACTCAGCTTCGAGTGCATTCGTTACAGCAGGAAATCGGCCTGCATCGCGTTTCGCTTTCCATTGGTCTGGACGTTGACCTTCCTGCATCCCATTCTCAAGTGTTGATCACTTTTAATGCGACAATAACCACTGGGTGATTGAGCTGAAAAGAACTCATTAAGAAATTGAAATTTAAAAAAACCAGTGGTAAAACATTCCACATTCCAGGCCATTTTTCGGATCGCTGTCTACATAGCTTGGCAGGAAAATCAGCTGAAAAATGTAACTTGAATTGGCGATGAGAATTCCTATCAGTGCGCAACATTTAACACATTCTTTTGGGCGATTGCTCGCAGTTAGCTATCGGAATGTTGAATACACTGACTGGTCATTTGAAAGGCTAATTATCAAGTGTCTTAAGCTCACTTAAAAAGAACAGCGCAATTTAATGTTTTTTTGTTAAATATCAAGCTTTTTTAAATTTGCTAAATTAAATTTTGCTCACTATTTAAAGTCTGCGATAGGAATCTTGGTTTTATTCTTCGAATTTCTTGTCAATTATCTACATTGTTTTTGTCTGTGAAATGCAAATTCCTCAAATGCCCATCATCATTAAAAATGTGTATTTTCAGGCTTCGTTGCTGAACGTTTTGGAAGAAAGGGCGGATTGCTGCTGAACAACATTCTGGTGTTGCTGGCTGTGATTTGCATGTCTTCATCGAAGGCGGCAGCATCTTATGAACTGATCATTCTTGGCCGATTTTTCATTGGTAAGTTGTTGAAACAACAACAAAAATGGAGAAAACAGCAAATTGCAAAATTGCCCCCTTTTCTTTTGCAGGTATCAATTCGGGTTTGAATGCCGGACTTGCGCCAATGTATTTAGCGGAAATTTCACCGGTGAATCTGAGAGGAGCCGTCGGTACCGTCTATCAACTGGTTATCACCATTTCCATTCTCATAGCTCAAGTGGTTAGTTTGAGGTCGATTTTGGGCACTGAAAGTCACTGGCCCATTCTTCTAGGATTGACCATCATTCCTGCCATTTTCCAAGTAAGTAACATTAATTCCGGAAATGTTACCAAGCAGGAAAAATTCGCTCACTTTTCTTATTTGAACATCCTCTATATGCAAAAATTCAAAGAAACCCTCTCTATTTCCACTCTAATCTTTACGCATTTTCCAGATGGTTACGCTGCCATTCTGCCCTGAATCGCCCAAATATCTCCTACTGTCGAGAGGACGAGACCTGGAGGCCCAAAAAGCCCTATCGTGGTTCCGCGGGACTTTGGCTGTGCATGATGAAATGGATGGGATGAGGGCCGAGTACGACGCAATGAAACTAGTGCCGAAAGTCACTGTTAGAGAACTGATCACCAACAACGCCCTGAGGATTCCTCTTATTATTTCCTTGACTGTGATGGTGGCCCAACAACTATCCGGAATCAATGCTGTAAGTATTCTGGCTCCATTCCCCGTAAATTCCCTTGAGGAAACAACACTTTGGCCCTTTCAGGTGATGTTTTTCTCTACGCAAATCTTCAAAATGGCAGGCCTGAACGATGCCAACTCCACATACGCCACATTGGGAATGGGCGGAATCAACGTCTGCATGACCGTCGTTTCTCTGTTCTTGGTGGAAAAAGCTGGAAGGAAAACTCTGCTCCTGATTGGGTTTGCTGGCATGGCCATCGACACTGCCCTGCTTACAATCAGCATGGCGTTTGCTGTAAGTTACGGTTTTTCTGACTGTGATCCCATATTAATCATTGGCTGCTTTCAGGGCCAGTCTCAAGCCATTGGAATTCTCTGCGTGATCTTCGTCTTGGTCTATGTGATCATGTTTGCTACCGGCCCTGGTTCCATTCCGTGGTTTTTGGTGTCCGAGCTCTTCAATCAAGCAGCCCGACCTACAGCCAGCGCCTTGGCTGTTTGCATCAATTGGACAGCCAATTTCCTTGTCGGCTTGGCCTTCCTACCGCTAGCAGTAAGTAGGCTCAATTTCACACCAATTCTCATAAATTTAACAAATTTCTTTTTGTTTTACAGCAAATCATGGGGGCGTATGTATTCATCATTTTCGTCATACTTCAATGCCTGTTCCTGCTGTTTATCTACAAGAAAGTACCAGAAACGAAAAATAAATCTCTCGAAGAGATATCGGCAATGTTCAGGCAGCAGTCCTATCAATAAGACTGGAAGGTAATCACTATTTATGGCTAGAGTAAGTAATCATATATCATTTATGGATGTTAAAAAATTGTCGAATTTTATCCTACATTAGCATAAAAGTTATAAGTGAAATCCCAGTGTCAGGATTGATCCAATAGTATTTTCCTCCTCGATAAAAAGGACTTGACGCTGTTCGATGTGTCATATTAGTAGATGAGCATCTATCTATATAATGTATATGTGTACTGACTGATGATTTTAAGAGAGTTATTTTTAATAATACTAATGCCTTGATTAAGCAGTTTATCATAACGCCCATTTGATAATTAACTATTTATTTAAACGGTTGATAAACCTTTTTATCCTAGTACAATGATCGTTTTTCTGAGAGCAAACAATTGCAAGCATTACAGCATGTTTTCCAGACAAAAAAGCATTGTCATGCCTTAAAGTGATGGCTCGATTTTACCTACATTCGCATCAATGTTTCACTTTAACGGCACAACTAACTAATTAATGCCCTATTTATTTGCAACAGTAATACTCATGTGTCCCTATTGAGATGTGGCATCTATTTTTCTATTTCATTGTACAATTAGGTCCAGTTCAACTGAAATTTACTTGTTGCCTAATTCACCGTGGATCTGCTATTATTTCTAATACCGAAGCTCTCTAGATATTAACTAATTTTTCTCTGTTCTGTGTTTGTTTCTCCTCCTGTATCCAGATTTAGTGGATTTGATACCTATTTTCAAGCATGTGGCAATTTATTAGCTTATTGCTAATTATGACCGCTATTAAATTGCCATTGACTATATTAAAAATGCGCCTTCAAACGCATACAGAACTCATTTAATATAAAGACATTATTAGGCTAATTTATTTATAAAGCGACTATGGTAAATATCAAAGTGTAGATGTTAATAATCCTTGTATGCTCTAAAATGCAAAGATCTGCAAAGGTTTAGTTGTTCGGTTCGAGCTTTATTAAAAAAAGCAATGTTTTCTAGTCCAAAAAGGCCCAATAAGTTGGTTGTGTGGAGAGAACGATTATTAATAAATTATACAGTGGGTTACTACCTGAACCAATACGTTTGAAAAATAATAATTCGTTAGGCAAATAATTTGAAAAAACGTCTATTTCAAAACGTACTGACTGTACAATCAGATATACAATAACCGAACGTTTTTTTATGTGAACATGTTCTGATTGTGATTGTCGCTGTTTTGATTGTAAATAATTATACGATTTTTCTAATTTTTAAGTAGCAACAAATTGTATTCTTTTTAGTAGTGGCAATAGTTCTTAGATTTGTTTTAAATTATATTAGTTTTTTTTGCACTTACTGTTTTTTACTTTGCGCTTACACATTCACATCCTTGAAAAAATGTTACAAACCCCCCAAGTAAACCCAAAACTGAATTAATTCTTCAGTTTCAATTTACATTATTTATCACGCATATTTGGCATTATCACTGTTCCCAGGGAGAATGTAAAAAAAATGTTTTGATAATATACCAATTTTATTTTTACAAAAAACGTCAGATAATACGCACCCGGTAAGGTTTGTTATAAACAAATATTAAAATAAAAAAACGAATTCAACATTCAACTACTCCTAGAGATTTAAACGAAAACAACTCAAAAACAAAAACAAATAATTAAGTTGACTAACTTATTAGTATAAATAACAAGAGGAAAACAGCCAAATAGGAGATTCTACTTGAAACACTAAATAATACACGTCTTTTACGGACTGATGTCCAATCCTATCTATATGGTTAATAAATCAGATCGCAAATATCTTTTTGTATGATAGAAAAATAGTTTTACGTATGTTAACTAACATAAATATGGTAAACTAGACTAACAAAACTTTAAAGTTAAGTAGAGTGTAGTTAAGTCAGTCAGTAGTAATAATTTCACTTTGAGTCAAACAATATCACCGAGTAGAGAAATTAATGGTATTAAATCGACTTGAAAACCATAATTTTCGATTGGCATAGATTTTCAAAATCAAGCTAAGAATATCTAATTCTTGCACAGCACATATACCTCGACATATTAACTAAGCGGATTTTCTAATCTCAACAATGTTTAGATTTTTTAGGTTTTTTGTTTTTCTTTTTCGATTTGTAGCAACAAAGCTGTTACACTACCTGTTAATCCTCTATGTCATCTTCTGCGTTCAACACTCCAGTAGGCTCTTCGGAACGAATGGACAAGTATTCTTGAGCATCGAAACACTGCACCACCTAAATACAGTTGTTTGATAAGTACAAAAACACTGACCATCCGACGCAAACTCACCTTGCGCACCAATGTTGGGTACTCTTGGGCAATGCTATCCCATCCCATTGGCTCACTTAAGCATAGCGGGGACATCGCCAATTGAGTGAGAACCTCAATAGAATACACAAAGCGACTTTTCGCTAAATTCGTTTTTGCATTCAACAGTAGGTCTTTGTCTGGAGACTTCTTAAGGGAATCCTCACTTGAGAGTCTGGGCTTCCTCAGCTTCAGCTCATGATCTGTTTTAAAATACAATACAGATCAGGGTTATTTTTCTCAAATTTCAAAGTTGTTTTTGTCAAGATGTATTGTTAATTTAATAGTTTTCTGAACATGAACTATGATAACACACAATTTTCGACATATCTTATAAAAGGAATATGGCTTCTTCTGTCAAAAATGCAGTAAAAAATAAGTTTCTTTCCCAAGTAACCTTTGATATCATCAAGGCCCGTTCAGGTAAAGAACATTGAAAATGTTCAGCTCAAAAAAAAAACGAAATGAAACAACGAGGTCTTCATCAATAGTTCAACTATAGTTGAGTTATTCAACCAGAGCTTTCCAAAAAAGCCACTCATTCAACCAGAGCCTCACAATAAAAGTTTGTTATTACCGAATGAAGGACGAGGGATGTTAACAGGAAAGACACTTAGTAAGAACAAAACTGTTTGTTAAAGTGCCATAGACAGTTAAATTAATTACAAAAGTGCTTGTCAATCAAACACTTTATTTCCTGATATTACACAACCGCAAGAAAACAGTATTTACAAAAAAACACACACCAAATTGAAACCTCCCAAAACTTAAATAACTCTCGTGGATAATAGCTATTAGAACACACTACAGGAATTATGGTATCAAAAAAACGCACGATTCCTCAATGTTGTAAAATGCAGTTGATTTGGTTTAAACTTTACCTGGCTCCTCTTTAACTGCAACTGGTATTGGTTGTCCGTTAACGACTGGCGATGTAGATTTTCGTGGCAAAAGCGGGTCATCCAAATCGTCCGGCACGATCGGTTGCGGCAAACTGTCGAAACTGTAAAACTGAGCCATATCGTGGATTGGTTCACCCGAAAAGTACTCGTCTAAAACGAGCTTGCTGGTCTGGAAAAGTTCCGCTATGTAGAACCAGAAAATCAGCATGAATCCCCAACTTACCCGAACCAAATCCAAGTTATCGCCAGTAATTTTGATGGTGTGTCCATTGGCAATCACCGTATACTTGTACTCGCCAACATTGGCGTCCGGAGTGCTCAAACTGTGCATGAGGGCACGCGAAGCCCTCATTGAAGATGGCAGAGCGCTATCGTCTGAGGCTGAAGAATTAATACTGGAACTGGAGCCAGTTAGAGGCCCTGCTGCGCCGGCACTGCCTTCACGAACAGGAGACGCATTTCTTCGAATCGTTTCTTCAATTAGCTGCTTGGCATGACTACAAATAAAAATATAATTGAAAATTCCATGAACGCCTTTTGAACAAAGCAAGAATTTTTAATGTTTGATTGTCACTTACTTTATGCTCTCCTCGCTAGCTCCAGTAATTTGCACCAACCGCTCCTTAGCGCCGGGGCTCACTGTAAAAAACATGCAGTGTTAGAAAACAAAATACAGACAAATACATCAAAGGGTACTGGACAGAAGAAACTTACAAGACACGCATTTCCAATCAACAATCAGGGGTTGTTTTACATTTTTAAACAAAGCGGAACTGCGTGCCTTACAAGCCAAATAGTTAAATTTGTCAATGCACAAGCGGCAACAAGAAGAATGTGCTTTATTCGATTAGGATGAAACAATAATCAAACGGTCGTTGTGATCCTTGTTATGCGGAAAGTCAATGTATTAGGCATCGCTCGGAGTTTCCAACAGTAGAAACTATGGAAATTTGAAGGCTCCAGTGCAGTCATTATAAGAATTCATGCATAAAATTGTGGGTATCGAAGTATTTCAAGTGCAGGGTTCAAAAATATCGCTCGCACCCAAAGAACATTCTAAGCGAATTGAGGGAATTCTTTGTGGGTTTGAGCTGTTTCTAGTCATGCAAAACTTAACCGCTTCTGTCTTCGACAAAGCCAAAAACACATTGGAATAATAATGACTGCACTCAAATGGCTTTAGTAATGGTATTAACACTTGGTTAACTATGTTCACACAAAATTAAAATATGTTATACGCATTAATTGGAGGTGTAAAGCGAGTGTTATTCAGACTCAGACGGTCATTGGCACATTCGTTTACCTCTCTGGAAGGATATGATAGTCTCACTGAGTTCTTCTATCATATGAACCCGTCTTCCCTTGATTCCCATCACTATAATAAATATAAACAGTTTAAATTCTCAATTTGCTGAACCGTGCACCGGAGGCCTCTGCATGTTTCGGATGCGTAATAAGGGGGCCATCAATACTGACCTTTACCGGAATCAGCATTTCGGATCACAACTTCGTCTTTGCAGTATTTTTTACCAGGTATCCTGGTAGGTTTATTGAATTTGCCCGACGGCTTTATTACTTCGCCGGGTCCTAGCAAGGGCGGGGAAGAATTTAACGTTAAAATTGAAGACATGGAATCACTAAGGCTTATGGTATCACTGAGATCTACCTATAATAAGAAGAAAACGCTCAAAGTTTTCTACCACTAGCTGGGCTAACTGAACTAACGGCTCGAATCTACATTAGACAGCGTACCTGTGAACACTGATTCAATTTCTTTTTGTAGTACATGTTCATACCATCGGTTCCCTTCCACCCTTTCGCTCGCAATTCGATTAATTCGAGTAAGTGTAATCGGGAAAGCATATCGACTCGTATGTTGTCTTGGGCTTTGTCGCGGAATATCTTGAAAGCATGGTCCAGCTGCTCTTTGTAGAGTATTTCCAAATATGCACCGTACACCTAAATAACAAAAAATAATTCACTTGTAGATACGAATCAGCTAAGTGATACTTGTACATTTAAAACGGATTTTTCTACTGGATGACCCAAAGTACTTGTGCAAAGTAACATTTATTTAATATGAACCCTATGAAATACAAGGTCACAAAGAGCTTTTTGTCTATTTTTTTCTGATTGTCGTTACTTAATGTTGATCTAAGTCTTTTTTTAATCGCGTCTATTGTGCGGTTTATATTGATGTTAGTGTTGTGTTTAGTGGGATTAGTTTGCCACTAACTTCTACGCCACCGAGAAAACTCCATTGTTTTTTACACACAAAAGCCGTGTGCTACTCGAGCACTGTTAGAGAAAAATTTCAATGTATGATGAAAGTTGTTACCCACCGCAAAACCAAAAAAAAGTAATATTTTTATTCCTGACTGATAACAACTAATGACACTAATTGTTCGATTATCAAATATTTAAAGTAAGTCAAGTTGCAACTTTTCTCTCACGTTTTTCGTCATAAAATGCAGTTTTATATATCTAGAGCGTTTGACTACAGGCATCTTTTTATGTAGAAATCAAAATAGCATTTCAAACTGAACCTCTAAAAGTATCATTTTCCCCAGGGGTGTAGAAATTAGGGGAAAAGTAACCCCAGTTGAGCCCAAAATCTACGCCACTGACGCAACGAAAAATGTCACTTAACGCTCATAAAGGAGCTAGAAGTATTGCTAAACTGTATAGAACAATTCAGGTGTCTACCTTAAACAGTTACCAAAAGTTAATAGAAAAACATGAGGCGATGTGGTTTTTTAACATACAATTCGCTAGTAAAGTTATTCGGTTTAAATTGGGGCCCCTCTTTATACATACATATCAATCATCAGCTAGTTCAATTTTCATTCTATTTCTAGAATACTAGAAACTGAATATTATCTACAATAGTGAGTTACCTTGAGATGTTGGCACAAGTTAATGATGCTGTCTTTGTAGTTGAAATCCTGCAAATTTGATGCTAGGAGGGCGGCCACCTGGTCGACGGCCTGCAGGACTCCTTCAACTAGAACAGTACAGAAAGACAATTAAGTAAAAAATCTTAAAACAATTTTATGCGAGCAAACAATGAGAGCGTAATGTTAAAATCAATTAAAAAAAACTCAATACAACAGAGCAAAAGGAAAGTAAATATTAGGGGGGTTAAAAAAATGATTAGGTCCTTATTTATATGTATAGAGCCCCCAATGTTTTGATTAATCAAAGTTGCGTAGCGGAGCGAAACCCAGCTGGATGTACATGTTGCGTTTGTTTATATGCAAGTGGATTATTTATGTTATTCGAGAGCCAAATTATTTATTTATGTAACTTTCATGGTGACATATATTTATTTGTATAATGTGGGTTTTTGCGCTAAACACCGCGCAACTGTGTGAAGATAAAGCCCTCATGTCAGAAACGAGATTGAGAATTCGAATTCCTACTCATCCCCTGTAACGAGTATATTGGGCGCAAACTGATGGGGGCTCCTACATGCGATTTACCTGCAACCATGACTCCATCCTGACGAAGTTTGTTGGCCAACAGCTGAGCTTGACTGTGGGACTTCACCAGCTCGTGTTTCCTGGGATGTTTCAAGCGGGACGCCAAGCCCGAAGACATGTTCGTTTAGGAGGGGAACAAAGACTATGTGTCCTGAAAAAGTAGCGTAAATAATTCATATATTCTAGGCCTTGGTGACTCATGGTCAATTTTTTATTTCGATAGACTTGTTGCAAGCACCACTTCACACCCGTGCTGGTGAACAACAGTTGATGTACAAACTTTAGAGAAGCAAAGTAAATGGAAAAAATTGAGGATTACCTTGTCAGGTTTCGAAATATTCAGTACTATTTTTGCTATTTTCGTCGAAAACCCTCTCCTACGCTGCTAAATACGCAACGCAGCAAAATTTCTAATTTACAAAGCGCATGTTCGCATTTAACAACGTCGCGGTCAGTACTACCATCCAACACGAACAATGACTGTGTTTACTTAAGCACCTTTTACTTAAACAAGTTCGGATTAAAGACACTGATTGGGACTGATTCGAAGCTGAATTATTTAAATGATATTCGTCTACGAACGTTAACCTACGTTTTTTACTTTGCAACTCTATTTGCAATTAAATAATTGTCGATTTGCGATCAGTCAAAACAATTTTTTTTCCTGTTGGTGCACCTGAAAGAATTTTGGGCAATTTTGTGCAGATTTGCTATTTCGGTGGATACTGGCAACACTGCCCTCGTTGCGTAGTGGGAACGGCTGCTTTGATCGACGACAAAAGTGCATAATCTTCATATTAATTTCCTTCAATTTTTCCCATCTCTACGACAAACCTAACCTTTATCACACACGTCCCCTAACCTAATTGCACACAACTTTTTTTTAAATAACAATAAATAATAACCCGAGAATGTCGAGGCCAATAACTTTCGTTACAGGAAACGCAAAAAAACTGGAAGAAATGCTGACGATACTCGGCCTAAACTTTCCTCGACAAGTAATAAGTAAAAAACTCGACTTACCCGAACTGCAGGGAGAAATCGATGAAATCTGCCGGAAGAAGGCCGAAACAGCTTACGAGCTAGTCGGGGGCCCCGTTTTAGTTGAAGACGCCTGCCTATGCTTCAATGCACTAAACGGCCTGCCCGGCCCCTACATCAAATGGTTCCTGGAAAAAGTGGGTCCTGAAGGACTGAACTCAATGCTGCAGGGCTTTGAGGACAAATCCTCCCAAGCCGTGTGTACTTATGCTTACCATCCTGGAGATCGGGGGGCCGAAGTGATTCTCTTCCAAGGCAGGACTGATGGCGAGATCGTCTTGCCCAGAGGCCCCAGGGACTTTGGATGGGACTGCTGTTTCCAACCCCAAGGATACAGTCAAACCTACGCTGAACTGGCAAAGGCCGAAAAAAACCGAATTTCCCACAGGTTCAAAGCAATTGAGAAATTGAAAGAGTTCTTTCATAATTCCACTTAAGGCCATGTAGTGGGTGTTGAAATAAAATCTTGTTTTATTTGTTTTATGATTCATGTGATTTCTTACATATGCCTCGCTTTCCTGCTATCGAAGAGCGTCCATTCAGCAGTTATCTTTTTTGTAAATCTTATTGTTATCGGGTTTTTCGTTATACTTCTTATGTACTAATATGAATATACTTCTTCTAAGTCCATTCTGTGCTCTTTTACCATTTGAATAGTTTCTATTGCTACACAAAGTTTAAAAAATTGCAATAATCTAAATTGTTACTGATTTAATTAAATGACGTCTATCTGCCAATTAATCATGATGCGTCTGGATTGGTCTGGATCATGTCTGGATCCATTAATAATGATGACTTGATTACGAGATTTTTATGTCCGCATTGCAGTTTTTCTAATAATTGCTTAGTTTTACTCCAATTTGATTTAGTTGTTTCGTTTCAAAAAAACCGCCGATTTTTGGCTAATTTTCATAACATGCTAAAATGATACAACATAAAAAAATTCTTCTATGTTAATATTGACCTTCATCGGCCGCGCCTCGTTCTGGGACACAACCTCAATTGTGACTGAAAAGAAGACGTAGGCAAATGAAAATCATATAAAAATTGCCAAGTGCAAAATTTTGTTGTCCATCGCCGTGTTATCGTTTAAAATTAATTCTGTAAATGTGTTCAAGTAGATGTAAAGTGAAACCTCGAGCCCTTTAAGTCCCGTTGTTGATGTTCCAAGTGTAGTGTTCACAACTCCTTAGCTTACCATGTTTTTGTTTCTGTATTGTTTGGCCTTTTTGTTCTTCCCAGTTTTAAGCACTAGTTCCAATACTTTCCTCCAACTGCTGCGTGCCAAAAGAGGCTCTATAACGCGCACTTTCTTGGATTCCCCGGAATGCAGCAATATGCGTAAATTCTGCGGAAACCGGAGCGACAGCGACGACTTATCCCTGTTGGAGTGTTTGCATTCACTGCACCCAGATGATTTGAGTACGATGTTGAAACCGTGCCAACAAATGGTGTGGGACGCCACCAGCAATCTGATAAAGGATGAAAATGTGGTCAGCACCCTTTTGCCGCTTTGCAGAAACGACATGGACAAATTGAACTGCAAAAGGGATGATGGGGACTATTTCAAGTGTTTAGCCAGCAGGAAGGACACTATTGAAGACGCCCATTGTCTGTTCATGATCCAGAGGATCGAGAACGTGGCTTTCACGGACTACAAGTTCCTAGCCACGTTTCTGAAGCAATGCGAAGCAGACGTTAGAAAGCTCAATTGTGGAACCATGGACTCGCAAGGAATTTCTCAAATTGCCACAATTGCCTGCCTCCAAACCAACATATTGCTGGTGACTGAAAATTGCAAAAGTGAAGTGTTTAGATTATCGGAATTGCAGTCAGACAACATCAAGCTAGACCAGACTATGTACTTGGACTGTGCTGAGGATTATTCGAAGTACTGTTCGCAATTCCCAGCGGGCAGTGGCCGCGTTTTTCACTGCCTCGCGAGGCAAAACCCGCAAAAACTAAGCAACAAGTGCAAAACCAGCCTGATTAGAAGACAGGGCCTGATCTCACAAGACTACAAGGTCAGCAAGGGCCTGATGAGATCTTGCAGGGACGATATCAAGAAGACCCATTGCCGCAAACAGACCTCCAGTGATCGAACTGTAAGATTGGCTCAAATCCTGCTCTGTCTGGAAAACCTTATCAGGAATGGCACGTATGTGTCGTCAGACTGCCAGGCCGAGCTAGTGGAACATCGCAGAATGCTCATGGAGGACTACCGACTATCTCCGGAAATTGTGGATAAATGCAAGAAGGAAACAGTGATCTTTTGCAGGGAAGTTGAAACTGGTGGCAAGACAATACACTGCCTGATGAAATATGCTAAGGAAACAAAGAAGAAGGATGCTTTTAGTCCTAAATGCAGAGAAGCGGTAAGTACGAACGAGTTTTCAAAGCGCGTGACTTGTTGCAATAGCATATTTATAACAAAGCAAACTAATTGACCGAAAACCCAGAATTTCGAACAATCTTAAACCAATTCATACTGCAGAAGAAAATAGTTTAAAAAATCATCAAAACGGTTTTGATATGTTACAGCTGGGAGATTTGGTAAAAATTGCAGACGCTGGAGAAAACTGGCAAGTGGATCCAGTGCTTCGAACAGCTTGCGCTCCTGTCGTTGATAAATTGTGCTCGAACTTCCGTAGTGGACATGGATCGGTCATGATCTGTCTTATGGATAACATAGGTAGGAAAAACCCCTTGATAGTAACGAACTTCTTTCACACCTTAAACTTCAGGGGCGGAGGCGATGACTGAAGATTGTGAGACCGTTTTAATGCAAATCCAATACTTCGTCGCCAGGAAGTTTGAGTTAGATGAAGAACTGTACAGAACGTGCAAGGATGACGCCTTCTCGGTCTGCTCAGCTAACGCTAAATTTGATAGTGAATCGAATATAGTCTTTAATTCGGGGGTGTTATCCTGCCTTTACAGGTAAATTAGATTTAATTGTAATCATGGGCAGAAATTCTAACGACGGGTTGTTTGCTCTCATAGACAGTTCCGATCAGAGTACGAAGATAAACGATTGAATGACGCATGTTTAGCTAACATACAAAGAGTAATGAAACAGAGAGCCGTAAGTGTGGACCTGCAGCCTTCAATTGAAGAGGCCTGTCTAGATAATCTGGCCACGTTTTGCTACAAGCGAGTGGAGAAAGGCGAAGAAATGAATTGTCTCCAAGATCACTACAACGATTTGGATGAAAAATGTAAAGACACCATAGAGCTATTCACAGAGCTTCAGTCGCAGCATGCCGAGCTGAATCCGTACATCAATAAACATTGCACACATATTATCAACACTTTATGCATGGATCACAAGTCAGATGAGGGATCAATCATGGATTGCCTAATTTCCCAGAAAAATAATCAAATTGTGAAATTGGACCAAGCGTGCAGAGCCAGCATTGAACATTTCCAGTTAATCAGCCTACAAGATTACAGGTGAGCCTACAAAAAATTACACGAGCAAATAACAAGCTGTTTCCCCTTGGGTTCGCAGGTTTTCCTACAAATTCAAAGTGGCCTGCAAGCCATACGTGATCAGATACTGTAATGCCTATTCCTCAAAGTTTGACGTTATTCGTTGCCTCAGTGAACAAATAGTGAACGCCACAATCAACAAAATCAAAAGCAATATTCCACGTGATTGCCGACAACAACTAAAAGCCCAATTGTTTCAACAAAGAGAAAACATTAATATGAGCCCCGTTCTAAAGGCGGCATGTCGCGATGATATTCGCACATACTGCGCTAATGTTGTAAATGTGAATGGTGAGGTAAGAACACGTTTTCTTCATCCTTCATTCATGCATCATACTAACGAAATGTTTTTCTGTAAAGGTGCTAGAATGTCTACAATCAGGAAACATTGAATTAAAGCCGGCTTGCCACAAGGAAGTTTTCAGAATAGAAAAACAAGAAGCTTACGACAACAGTGTTGACTACGCTCTTTTGAACATGTGTGCAGGCCCTATAGAAATGTTCTGTAGCCATGTGGATAAGGAAAATGTACTCGAATGTCTCAGAGTGAGTTTTTTCTAGAAAGCCTGTTTTCCTGGTCTGCATTTTTAACCAATGATTTCCAGAAGCATAAAGATCAGAAAGGATTCAACAAAAAGTGCAGTGCTGTGTTGATGCATCGCATTCTTGAGCAAAATTCGAATTCCTTGCTGAATCCCACATTGCAAGAGAATTGCCACATGGACATCAGCAAATTCTGCAGTCATCTACCGATTCCTCAAGGGGCAAAAGCGAAAGGCGTTGTAATTAGTTGCCTAAAAAAGCAGTTTAAAATGTCGAAACTCACTGATAAGTGCGAAAAGGAAATCGCTTCAATTCTCCGAGAGCAAGCGCTCAATTTGAATTTGAATCCTCTGATCAGGTAAGAGAGAGTCTAATTGCTCTGGACTAGTTAGAAGTTAATTTTTTTTTTCAGGACGCTTTGTAAGAATGAACTGCAAATTATCTGCAAAATTGACGAATACGACGACAATTCGGGAAATTTGGAAGAATGTCTCAAGGACGCTCTGATCAATAAAAAGATCCAAACACCTGAATGCAACGTGGAGGTTGCGAACATGATTGAAGAGTCCCAAGCAGACATCCAGGTTGACCCTTTGCTACAACAGGCTTGTGCGTTGGACCTGCTTCAATACTGTAGTGAAATTGCTCAGGGCAATGGGAGACGTGAGTCTGGTCGATTTTAGTCTTTTAACAGTTCAAAAACCTATTTTGCCTTCCAGATGTGAACTGCTTGAAGTTGATGATGGACAAAAAAAAGAAACTATCAACGAAATGCAAAAACATGCTCACTAAACGGTTTGAAATGTACAAAAATGCAGCCCTGGTAAGCAAACTAAGAATTTGTTCAGGTCTATCAAAATTTATTTTATCTTTTTTCAGATTGCCCCCATGCCTCTAGAGAATTTCGAACAACTTTACCATCAAGTAACAAGCTCACCTTCAAGACAGTACTTCTTCTTGATAACGGTCATATTTTTGGGGACAGTGTTTATAGTGGGTCTCATGTGCGGGAAACTCAATAATCGAAAATACATGCTGTTGAAAAACAAGTAAACGGCCAATTGAATGTGGTTCTATTGATGTCTATAGTATATTTATTATTTTACTTACCACAATTTCCAATAATTTGGGAGTGAGGATTGATTAGTGAAGATAGCAGGTCGTTGTCTTTTGCCCTGTTTCTATTGTATATTACTGATTGGCTACGAAAACCGTTGTCAACAACTACTTTGTGACAAATTTCTACAAAAAAAACCAAGTGCTCCACAATTAGAATAAGTTTTAGATTTATATGCGTGTGATAACTTGTGCAAATCTTGCTGAAGCTGTGACAGGACTGAAAACCATTCATTTGTATAAAATATATTAAATTGAAACTAGAAGTTATTGTTTTGTGTATGAGACCGGGCACCGGTTAGTTCAAAAAAAATGTCAATGTGAACTGTTCGGCCATCAAATGCCTAACTTCAAGGTAAATATCTGTAGAAAATTAGTAAAACACTATAGTTTGCTTTCAGCTAGAGCCGATCAAGTACAATCCCAATGACCGGAGAACGCCAAAAATGCTCTATTCAAAAAAACAGTACAATGAGAAAGTCAAAGTCGATAACTGGTACATGAACATTGAATTTCAACCTGTCGACATTAATCCTTATAACCCCAAGTGCTTTCGATTGCACAATTCTCACTACAATAGACTTGGAAATCTGGACCAGAAAACCCTCATATCGGAAGACCATGACTGTTATAGGAACGTTTCGCCAAAAACGTCTCACTTTGAGCACAATCCGCACAAATTCCTGATTAATGCCTACAGTTACCCGTGAGATATTTTCCCGCAACGCTGTTATCAATCAAAAGAAACACTTACTTTTAGATACTCCTGTCCTAATGACCAGAGCAAACAGTCATGTCCACAAAATGACGCTGATTTTACAACGACAATGCAACGCAGTTACTCATCTCCTTATCCAAGCAAGATAAGAAGGGTAAGTTGCTTAAAAATTCAATCCTACAATACTGCCCTTTGTATTCAAGTTGATGATGCCTAAAACGGGACCTGAAAACAAGATAATGAAAAGTAGGGACGAATGCAAGTTCCTCGATGATAATTTCGTTAATTACACCAAGGCCTTGCAGGATATGAAAGGATTTCGGCACATTTCCAGCCTTTAGATTCCTACAAGGGCGTCAGTTATGGCAGCCAAAATAAACTAAAAATAAATGTATTTAAATCAATGACTTTGCTCATATAAAAATCAATCTACTTCACTAAATGCAATATTACATTAACCATAAAGAAATTCGTACAGTCGACAATTTTGAGCTTCGCGTTTTTGACCTCAGCAGCTTATTGTAAATATTAAATGCTAATCGTTTTGAGTAATCCTAGCTACTGACAAATTAAATACCGTTTTCACAGAAAATTAACAAGACTAACAATAAAAACAGTGTAAACCAATAAACAAACAACTTACGAAAAGAAAATCTGATGGCGCAAGCCTTCGCCCTATTAACACCAACAGGACTATCAGCGAATAATGGTGTAACCTATGATTTCATTAATAACAAAGTTCAGATATAACTTTAGGCACTGTGTTCCATGTTATAAAAAACCGGGGTTAGTTTGATTGGAGCAATAGATACTTTCTATCAACTAAAGCCACTTACTTAGTATGCAGATTACTGAAAAGCTTTAGTTGAACTGAGGCACTAATTCAAACTAACCCACCTTGCGTTTTGTGGTAAAATGTGGTTCTATGAAGCTGATAATGACCCTGATTTCATCAGTAAATGGCAATACGAGTTATTAAAACCACCAATCAATGACCAGCTTTGATTAAGAGTGTACGGTTAAGGCAATGAAATAGTGACAAATTGAAACTTAACTAAACAACGTAATAAACGAATACTCATTAACATGGTAGAAAAATATTTGTCAGTCTAATATAGAAATGCTTATTGCAGATCTATGAATGATATTTTAACAACGAACAACTACCAGAGCACACAATACGTTTTGGGATTCCAAATTTTGCTTTGTCTAAATTTAATCAGTGTTTCAATATTTTGTTGAAATTTTTACAACTTTCCAAAGAACACTGCTCGAATAGTTCACTTTATATTTATAGGAGTATTTTTATAACACCCTGTTCACCAACGATTGCCTGAGACCGAACTTCAAAGGCAAAATAAGCTTAATGGAACCTTTTCCTTTTAACATTTTTCCCTTTGGACTTATAAGCCTTCTGTTTCCTCTTGCGGCTACCGCCAGCACTGAAGTTTGTCAATTCATCTCCTAGTGTACCTATAGTGCTGTGGCTCTTTTTGGCCTCCGCCTTACTCAAAGGCAACCTGGTAAAATACTCTTCCTCATACTCCTCACGTTCCTTCTGCTCCTTTGATATAGCAGCTCTGTTCATGCTTCCCTCATGAGACACCTCAGTTGGTGTATCCAGATATTCATCCATAATATCGTGCATGATGGACGAGGACATCATTTTTCTGTTCTTTTCCTGTAAGCGTTTCGCTTTCTTTTGGGCAGAGTCCGTTTCTGCAACAAACAATTTAGGCATTTAGATGCAGGCAGAATGCGGGTGTGTGTTGGATAAAAACACATTAAGTATTAAATTATTTGCTATAAAATCCGCAGAAAAGGCATGATGAAAGGCGTAAATGTATCATACTATGAGAGAATTTTTCGATTTATCATCCTGTTTTCGTTCATATTTATATAAAAAAAGTAATTGAAATTGAAATTTACATTTACATTTACAAAAAGTGAAACATCTTTATTGAAATAAGGAAAAAACCACACACATACCTGTATAATGAACTGCAGACAACTTTGGAGGTACATAGATCCCCGTTTTAGTCTTTTCAGTTTTCCCGTTTTCACTTTCATCGCTGCTTTCACTATCTGAGTTTTCGTAGCCCTCCTGAGTGGCAAGATTCAAAGGGTTGGCCTTAAACGTGGATGGATCATCACTACTGGTTCCAGTCACTGCATTTTTCACTAGCTTATCAATTTGATACTTCAACTTGTGATCAATGGGGCGCATTTTCTCCAACACAGTGCGTATTTCGATTAATCTATCGATGCAAGGGTGGCCCTCGATTGGCTCCCCCGAACATTTACGCAACACCACGTAGGTGAGGTTGATTAAATAGCTGAGCAGCATGTTGTATTTGACTTCAAGAAAACTGAGACCCTGGTCTGTTGATAATTCACCATTCCTAACCTTTTGGATCATGTTGTCGACTAATGAAGCCACATGTTGGGCGGACACGTTCATTTCACTCAAGAGCAGTAAAGCCTGCGGCAGATCCTTGTGGGCCATTTTGGGATGTTCCCGGCCCTAAAAAAGGAATGAAAATAACGGTTTGCAGGTTAGGTTATCAATCGATTTGATAAAAATGTATCGCCATTTTTTCCCATGACATGTGCTTTTCAAACTTGATTTTTAATAGGTTTCCAAATCAAGGCTCTCAAGAACACTAACCTGCACCATGTTGAAGTTTAATAGAATCCAATTTTGAGACCAAATCGCCTAAAACCTCATCAAAATCGAAGAATGGGAAAGAAAAAGTTTGGGAAAAACTATCACAACCCCTACCCCAGAAAAAGTTTCAGCTTTTTTCTGGTGGGGGCCGATCATCGAACGGATATGTCAATAGAAAAAAATCGCGGGAGATTCAAAAGGTTTACGAATGTTCAAGCCATCGGATTTTGCTATCATTTGGTGGGTGTTTATTTTTTTGGGTTCGTCATGGATTAGAATATGAATAGAAAATGTAATGCCACTACTATTGAACGAATTTTCGGGCTTTTAGCCCTGCTTCCTGACGTTTTGCAAGCACGAGTGGCTCACATCTTCAGAGGTTGTTTGCTCAACAAGGCGGCTGTAGATATGAAAACATGAAAATAAAACCAAGTGCATCCTTACGTGGTAATAAATGCCTGCATATATTCCAGCCCACTAAACACCTCGGGCTTAACTAACTATACAGCTATGATTGCCTCGGTCGAATTTTCTCATATATAACATGTTGCTGTTGATTCTTCAGCGTTTGCTTTTTGATAAAATGGAAATTATCCAAAGCGAACTCATAAAACTCGTTCTCCATCTGCCAGACTGAATTGCTTTTGAATTTATTGACTGTCTCAACAGACGGGGAATTTTTCTGGACTGTTTGCCTTAGGTGGGACTTGTTACTGCCCGTGTAATGCTCCAAGGCACCTTTGAAGATTCTGGGCAACGAAGTTTCCAGAACAGCAATAAAGTCTTCCAGCTCCTCAGTGACTCCCACTAGGAAGTAATTGTTTACCAGGTTTTTCTTCGCTTCGGTCAACGCCCATTTATTGCCGGGTTTCCTGAAAATCCTACTTAAACGGGGCCTAGAAACCAGTTAAAGGCTTACCAGCAATTCGAGGCGTGCCCACAGAAGAATGGAACTTGTAACCACATTGCATTTGGGTCGCACTCTGGCAGTTTCTGTTGAACACATTCATCAAATGTCTGAAAAATTGGGGTTGATTATTTAATTTTAAAGGACACTACCAGTAGGTTTTACCATGGTGTTTCCAGCTTTCCGTCGAACCAAATATGGCCGAAAATTGTCCCCATATCGCAGAAAATAGTAGTAAGAGATAAACCTATCTAAGGGTTTACGAATAACATTTATATACAGCGGCTTGAATACTCCAAACCTACAAGCAGAGCAGTTCTTTATTGCCCACGGATTCTCCACAGAGAAACTCACTTGGAAAAGTCTATATATGCAAAATGCCCGTGATACAAAGCGGGTTTCATCGAGCCCCATTCGGTCACATTGGTGACGAACTTAATTTGATTAGTCAATGATAGAACATGGCTGTTTCCAGTTACGTTCACATGCAGGACATGATATTGCCCCTTTTTGCACAGATCATAAGCTATGCCCACGAAGCTTGTAGAGCCTGTTTTAGGGACTCGATTATACAAAACAACTAGATTGTCTGATAAATTTGGTTTCGCTGGGGAAACCACCGATTGCTTCTGCACCCTAGTCAATGACTCTAAAACCAGCAAAAGTGCCCTGATGTGAGACAGTTTTAGAAGCCTAAACTACCCACCTAACCGGATTACTTGCGCCTGGAGCTTTGCCAGTTGGATTTGATAAATGCCATAATAGACTATAGCACTGACAATAATCAGAGCTAAGAGATATTTAATATTGACGGCTACCATAACGAGCAGGGACTGACTACATTACATGCCAGTGATTTCAGCTTTCTCTCGCTTAAAGTTGAAAAACTATTCCTGTTGTTTACTTTGAGGCATTTTGAATGTTTTCTGACAGTTCCTTGGAGGTTATACACTCTACTTCTAGGTTAGAAGGTGATAAAAATAACCTGTAAATATGAAACTGAAAGCGTCAGTTTGATATTTAATTATCATAACAACATTTATTTAAAAACAAATTGAGTACCAAGCCACAAAGCCGCAAGGTTTACCGCATTACAGATAAGATAACATTGGAAGGATTACCGTACCAAGTTATTTGCCTGATTGAATTTTATGTTTTCAATAGGTGTGATTGTTTGTAAAATCAGTCGTCAGAATAAGCAATTTTTCCCTTTGTCTGGCTGGTCACGTATCCACAGTCTCAGATTCTTCGGTGCCTGCTTAAACAGCCCCAGTGAAATGCCGAAAGCAAAGTCGACCAGTGATCTACTCAAGCAGCTTAGGGCTTCAATGACAAACCCCAAATACGTGGAGAAGCCCCTGCAAGGTTATATCATTCCTTCTGCGGATGCCCACAATGGGGAATATCTGGCGGATTGTGACCAGTTTCGAGCCTTTATATCAGGATTTAATGGGTCTGCTGGAACAGCTGTTGTATCTCAACGAGATGCTTGCCTGTGGACTGATGGCAGGTATTATCTGCAGGCTACAGAGGAAATGGACAGCAATTGGACTCTGATGAAGGAAGGGGACCCCAACACGTTGCAGAAAGGTAAGCTACCAGATTAGAAGAGAAATACCAACAAAATGACCCCAGTAATCATTGGGGCCCCGTTCATAAAACGTCTTGAGAACTATTTTTCCCAATCAGTTCGCTATTGTTTCACGGACCATTTTCGATTTTAGGTCAATGGCTGGCAAAAAACCTCGAAGTTGGCGGCCGCGTGGGCGTGGACCCCAAGTTAATAACAACTCAACAATTTCAGTCCCTTCAAAAGGAGCTGGACGCGGCAGGTCGTAAACTCGTTCCAGTCGCCCAGAACTTGATAGAACTTCTTTGGACTGAAAGACCCAATCGGCCCGTCAACCCGATTCGGCCGTTATCAGTAACCTTTACCGGAAAACCAGTTAAGGCCAAACTGGCCGAAGTCACGGCGGCAATGAGGAGCAAAAGAGCCGATTGGCTAGTTTTGACTGCCTTGGATCAGATTGCTTGGTTCCTAAACCTACGTGGCTCCGACATCGAATACAACCCGGTGTTCTTTTCCTATGTGATTATCAAGGAAGATGGCACCTTCACTTTGTTTGTGGACCCACGCCAGGTGACTGAAGAAGTGAAGCAGCATCTGAGAAGCGAAGCAGGGGATGGTAGCTTTACCATTGAACCCTACAGCAGGACTGAAGAAGCGCTTAAGGAACGCTGTTTGAGCTTGGAAAGCTCTATTTGGTTCAGCGAAGCTTCCAGCTATGCCCTCACGAGGATTGTCCCCGAGAAGCGCTTAATATTGACCGATACCACCCCAATCGAGCTAATGAAGGCAGTGAAGAACCCCACTGAAGTAAAAGGGATGAGAAACGCTCATTTAAAAGACGCGATTGCACTGTGCAACTACTTTGCGTGGCTGGAGAAGAATGTGGCGGCCGGAAATATCACCGAAGTTTCAGGAGCGAAAAAGTTGCACGAGCTTCGGAGGTTGCAACCCGAATTCATCGGGGACAGCTTTGCAACCATCAGCTCCGTGGGCCCGCACGGCGCGATTATTCACTATCAACCAGACGAAACCAGTGATGTCCCGATTCGGACGGACTGTCTCTACTTATGCGACTCCGGGGCGCAATTCCGGGACGGAACCACTGATGTGACCAGGACTGTGCATTTTGGTACTCCTACTGACTACGAAAAGGAATGCTACACTCGCGTGTTGAAAGGGCAGTTGCAACTGGCATCGCGCATCTTTCCGACTAAAATCCGAGGGAACCACTTGGATTCGTTCGCCAGAGAGTTTCTGTGGGATGTGGGGTTGGATTACGCCCACGGAACCGGCCACGGGATAGGACATTATCTGAACGTCCACGAAGGACCAATGGGGATTTCTTGGAGACCGAACAGTCAAGACCCGGGATTGGAGGCGAACATGTTCCTGTCCAACGAGCCTGGGTATTACGAGGACGGCAAGTTTGGCATCCGGATCGAGGACATTGTGCAAATCGTGCCGGCTCAGCCGCCGCACAACTTTAATAATCGCGGTTTTCTCACCTTCGACACCATCACCCTGGTGCCGAAGAGCTTAAATCTGATCAACGTTTCAATGCTTACAGACAAGGAAATTGAACAACTGAACAATTATCACCAAGAGTGCAGGCAAGCCGTGGGGCCGCTTTTAGATGAGCAGGGGGCGGTTGAAGCCAAAGCCTGGCTGTGGAAAGAGAGCGAGCCCATTTCCAGATAATCGCCTAAGGATTGTTGTTTTATTATTGTTTTTATTTCTAGTTAGCACACCCAGTTGTATAAACAGTTATTATACATTATATTTCTTCACCAACGTTTTTCTTTTTTTATTGGCATGCGTCGAGCTTCTGGACAAGACTCGAGTCGTACTTTTCATGTCCGATACTGACTTGCTTTTTACGTCTTCCAGCAGGGCCAGGCGAATTTTTTCGACTTTTTCATAGGCCAACACCAAAATCACCTCGTAGAATTCGATAAAGGATAGTCTGTAGCGTGAGTTGTGTCGGCCTGAAGGGAGGAGAACCTGAGGGCATATTTTGGCAAAGGTTTTCAAGATTCGTTTTCGCCCTAGGCCGGAAAATGTGTACAATCCTTCATACAGGAGAGGAGGTCTATTTTCCGTGCTCTTTTTGATCGGGCTGTTTTCTATTGGAAAAAAATTAGAATAAACTGCAAGCAAGTTTCCTAAAACTGAATATTTCTCCTGCAATTACCTCGAAAAAGCACTTGCTGATTCAAAATCACCACATTGGTGCCAGTTTGCACGGTGCATCCAGTGCTCTTCTGGAAAAGGGCCTTGTAGCAAGGAATGCGCTGTCCTTCCTTCAAGCATGAATGTTTGAGGAAATCTTCAACCGTATGAGGTTCCCCAATTTTCCTGTACAGCCCATAGACTGCATCAATCGGCACCAGGTCCTTTAAATAAGTTAAGCAGTTTCCTAGAAAGCGATCTTCATAAAGTGGTTTGATTGCAGCGAGCTCGTTAATTCCGGGAACCTTGAAAATTTCCCGCATGAACCAAAAGCCTGCTTTCCAAGAAGTGCTTAACCATGTAATACATGAAGCCAGCTGATGGCGTGTAATCCGACTGATTTTCGGTGGTAAAAAGTAAGCAGGCCATCCCGACCAAGGCCTGCAGAAACTGCCAGAAATAGATCGGTTCCCAAGGATTGTGCGTTGTTTCTAAGCAACTGTTCGGATTTTTCATCAGTCTTTCATCTATTTCCACTATGGAAACTCCAGGTTTTTCTGTAACTCCGATGTCTCTAAGGAAGTGGGTCAAGTGGGTGTCCTGTAGGCGGGTACCTGTAGAGTTGCCAGAGGAACAAGCGCACAAGAACTGGCTGGAATGTTAACTCCTGCTCCTTCACACAAAGCGTGGCATACGTTTGATAAATGCGTCTCAATTGGGGCAAATAGTTAATCAACAGGTTCTGGAGTTCAGTGGCGTTCGGCGCACATTGGAGGCTCTCAGTGGTTCCCACTAGGTACCCAGTACTCCACTCGGAACTGGATGGTAAATAGTTCACGTGCGAATCTGAGGAAAAGTTGCTGCTTTGCTGCCTGAAACCGTAACACTCAGTATATTTGGGGTGAACATAGTGGATGATTCACGTGTTGATCATGTGCTCAATTTCCAGAGTGCTGATGTCCGATATGAGTTTGGGTTGGGCTCCAGATGGGACAAAGTCGTCCACAAAATACTCCAAATCAACCTCATGAATCACATTGTAAATGGGAATTTTCAGGGGCGGAGCATTGCCAGTATTCTTTTCCAGCAGTTTTATGTACTGCCGCATTTTGATGGTGGTGCCGCTTTTGGTGATTTTTGTTACATTTTCTGGATGCAACGATTCCAGTTTATTCTAGGAAATAAATCGCCCAATTTATTATTGTATTTGTTCTTCTACTACTCAGCATGATGAAATACAGATAAAAAATTTCTAAGAAGCTGATTGGTTGCAAGGATTGTATGGGCGTCCACGCCCCTCGATTCGAATTGGCTAATCCTTTTCTGTTTATTTATATTCAAATCTATTGGCTGGTAACCGATAACATCCTGGTATAAAATGGCGAATAAACAAAAAGGCATACAATATTTAGCATTATGCAATTTATTGGAATAAACGCGCGAGCTTTGAGTTAGTTTGTTTTGACCCAGAAAGCGAAATTTGAATATCAGACACCTAGGTGCAAGATTATGCCAAAATTCCATGTTTTCCGTCCTGTTTTTGCTCATTTCTCGGAGGCAAAATGAGCAAGAACGCTCATTTGTACATCAT